GACAATCTCATGTGTCAGGAATATGGGCCACACTAACTATGGTGCTTGGCTATGTCAGCCAGCATACTGTCACATACCCTTAGACACTCAGAACCCAGACTGAGGATCATAAGTGGCCCCGTAACACTGGGCAGATGGAAGAAGTTAAGGGACTACTGGTAGCTCACATGCTATTTTGTTTGTGGCTTTGGAAAACACAACTGCTATATTCACAAATGACCATTTCCATAAGCTTGCAACACCCTTGGTTCCTTGGAAGGCAACTGGCACAAGCACAGGCTGGTAGAGTGAGGCCAGGGCCAGGCTGGCTCCCAGCACCCTGCATTTCGCCCTTGCTGGTTATCCACACCTGCTGCGGTTGCCTAGGCCACGAGCAGTAATTACGTGCCATTTTCCAATGAGTGTGGCCGCATTCATGCCTGTGTATCCATGGGGATGCTTCAAATGTGGGGCCAGGCTGAGCACTGAGGAAGAGCAGTTGAAAGCATGGGCTGGGTAGAAAAATGACTATCTTTGTCCCATCTGTGAGATCTTGAGATAGCGACTAAACCTCTGTGGGCTTCAATTTTCTTCTCTGAGCAAGGGGGATAGATGATTATCACCTCTCTCACGGGAGTGTTGTGAAGATAAAAAGGGATCATGCATGTACAGTACTTAGGCGGCTGCCTAGCATATGGCAAATGTTCAGACACAGGGTTTTTTTTTCCTTCCAATTTAATGGCAGGGATAATTTTTTATTAATTTCTCTCTCTCTCTCTCTCTCTCTCTCTCTCTCTCTCTCTCTCTCTCTCTCTCTGTGTGTGTGTGTGTATACTTGTGGGAACTCCTGTGTCATGGTGTATGTGGACGTGGACGGAAACCTTGTAGGATTCAGTTCTCCTTTTCCACCAGATAAGTCTCAGGGATCAAACTCAGTTTACTAGGGCTGACAGCAAATGCCTTCTCCCACTGAGGCATCTTGCTGTGCCTCAAGTGTGTGTGTGTGTGTGTTGCAGAAGGAAATAAAAATAAGCCATCAACACCTAGAGCATCATAGACAAGAGAGCAATGAAGCCACATGGGAGCTCACCCCTGAGGGGTAGGTCTGAATGAAAACTATAGGCCTATGCCTAGGGCATGTCTTCACTGGGGACTTGGTACATGGAAATGTGGGGGCCTTCAGGAGCCACTGGCAGCACAGGTGCCAGTAAAACAAGCAGTCTGTCCCTATGAGAAGGCACCTGCATTATTCCCACCTAATTGTGGTTTGCAGCAGGATGGGGGCTGTCCACCTGAGAGACCTTTTGGACCCAGAGCCGAACCCTCAAACTCACTTTCTCCTGTTCCAGGGAGGACGTCCTCCTTGTTTCAGTTGCTCGGCCCCAGTCTGGCTTTCAGGCTACAGGACTGGGAAGGGGATAGAGTTATTCTTCTCATCGCATTGACTGCTAGAAGAAATTTGATACCAAGTTATAAAAGTACACCCCTTTCCAGTGCTGGCAAATGATTTTCTCCTATCCTTTTGGCAGCAAAAATTCTGGCTGAGGCAGGTCTTTTCAATTCATAGCTGATTAAATTGCCTATTATCCACAATGTCTTGACAACAGCTTGAAAAAAATGTGACTGTGCCAGCCCCGACCAGCCCTCTGGGCCCATGCCAACTGTCTGAACGCATTTTTACTTAATTGGCTGCAGTCAGAAAGGCAGGAGTCAGGTTCTGAGGGAGTTGCATTGCGCCATTGGGTAGCATCAGCTCCAGGTCCCAGCTCCAACTCAAGATGACCAGGAAGATGCTGGTGGGACTATGTCCTCCCCCAGTGCTCCAAGCTCCTGCAGGGAGTGACCCTGGGTCCACACAAAGTGAGACAACAGTCACTTCAGGAGAGTTCAGAAGTTGGGGGAAGAACTTGGTTAAATTCAGCTAAACTGATGGGTCACTGGGTTATAGCATCAACACCTGTGCCATTTTATTTTCAAAGAGGGTTGGCTATATAGCCCTGGTTGGCCGAGAACTCACCATTTAAACTAGGCTAGCCTCAAATTTGGTGTCCCAGTTTCCTGAGTGCTGGGATTACAAGCATGTGCCACCATGCCTGGTTTCCAGCTTCTCTCCTCTCTCATTTCTATCTCTCTCTGAGACAAGGTCTTATATAATCCAAGCCTAACACATACCTACTTTCCCAGGATGTCCCTGAACTGATTCTTCTGTCTCTACCTCCTAAATGTTGAGTTGAGATTAACACCACCACACCAAGGTTTTAAAAATGATTCATTTTTGTTCCTCTCTCTGTGTGTCTCTGTCTCTGTCTCTCTCTCTCTCTCTCTCTCTCTCTCTCTCTCTCTCTCTCTCTCTCACCACACACACACAAGAGTGTCCACAGAGGCAAGAAGAAGGTGTCAGATTATAAGTCGCCTGACATGGGTGCTGGGAATTATACTCCAGTCCCCTGGAAGAGCAGTATGTACTTTTAACTGCTGAGCCCTCCCTCCAGTCCCTCTGCCCAGTTTGTATGCAGTGCTGCTGATTCACCACACCTGGGGTTTTCTTTGTGTGTGCTAACACATCCTCTACCAACTAAACCACAACTCCAACCCCCAGCTCTTCTTCTAATAGAATGCCAGATTGCACAGCCATGTCTCAACTGCATTACCCTGGACTACTGATTCCCTGGGGAGAATGTGTCCTTTTCACATAGTACAGAAGATTGAAGGGGCTCTTTGATGATAGCCATCTAATCTGACATCCATTTACACAGCAGACCTTTATGAAGACCTACTATGTGCTAGTTCTATGTGTGCAAAGATCCAAATATAGAACCGAGTAAGATCACCGGGCTCTGGCAGTGTGACTGGTGCAGGGCCTGACACTCATTTTGGGTGTTATCTACTTTCACTGTAAACGAGTGTTCCTCTATATGCAAACCTTGGTGTCTGAAGCAGCATCCAGAAGAGCTCTGCTATCAGTGTCCATGATTTCTCCCACATATGCATCAGAGAATCTGCAGAGTGGCCCAAACAGACTGTGCTGCCTCCAGCTCCTTCTCTCTCAATTCTTTGCTTCCAAGCCTTTTAGCCAGGACCTCTGCAGACACAACAAATGTAAATTTTCGCTAGAAGGATTTTGTGTGTGTGTGTGTGTGTGTGTGTGTGTGTGTGACTCCTCAGGGCCACTGTATGTGATGTCAACAAGGTAATGGAACTGGATGGAGCTGAAATCAGCAGGTCATGTGTCCTGGGGTTATCATCACTCAGAAGGAGGTTTTTCTACCTTGTCATGGGTAGGCATGCAGCAGGATAACCTACCTGCATTTGTCATTTGTGCAAAGGGACCCTAGAGTTACTGGGAACCCGCCTCTCTCTCTCTCTCTCTCTCTCTCTCTCTCTCTCTCTCTCTCTCTCTCTCTCTCTCTCCCTTGGGTTTTCGAGACAGGATTTCTCTGTAGCTTCAGAGCCTGTCCTGAAACTAGCTCTTGTAGACCAGGCTGGCCTTAAACTCACAGAGTTCCACCTGCCTCTGCCTCCTGAGTGCTGGGATTAAAGATGTATGCCAATACCTCCTGGCAGGATTCTGATACTTCTATCCTATCTAAACCAACCCCACCTCCCACTGCAAAATCATCCAGAGCCTGTTGCAGGAGATTTCCCCATCCTAAATGCCAGAAAACCAGAGCTGAGCTCAGAACTGGTCCTCTAACTCTCAGACTCTTTGATCCACTAGGAGCGGAGCACACTGTGCTTTTGTTGAGACAAAACCCTTCATTTTTGAGGTCACAACTGTGGGGCCAGGCAAACCAGAGGTTCCATGACAGATAGAAAGTAAGAAACATCTTACATTTGTAGCCATCAGGTGTTTTCTAAGAGAAACAAGGATCCACTGTGCGTGGGAGGAGTGGGATCCTTCGCTCTTATCACCCAACTGAGCCCATGTACCAGGGGACAAAGATGCAGGAGGAACCAAGGTCTACTCCCAATTAACAGTTCAAGGAGACAAGGACATCCAGAGAAAGGCACTCCAAAGACTTATTGGGATCATAAGATGAATAGATTTAATCATTCTTGTTGGAAAAACAAGACATAAATTAGTGTAATATATAATTTATATATTTATGTAGTATATATATTATATACAGACATTTAGAAAATGTTCCCTCTCCGTGAGGCTGAGGGAGAGGTGAATGACAGCGATGAAATGACAGAGGCAGGGTCTGAGTGGCGAAGGTGTAGGTAGGATCAAGAAGTTGGGAGAAGAGGAAGACCATGCCAGAACTCTGCTGGCAGTGGTCGGGCGGGAAAGGGTTCCCCACTGGCTGCATCTCTGGCCCATTAAACATTTTGGTCCTGTGGGGGGAGAGACAGGGAAGGGAGGCTGGCTTCTGTAAAAGGGTGACCCTCCTCCTTGCGGGGAGACCTTGCCACTCAGGAGGCTTTATTGCGCGGGGATTACAAGGATAGGCAGGGGCTCGGCACAGTGTACATCTTATAAAACTCACATAAGAACAAGAGATTTCACATAGGCCTCTCACACAGTGATGAAAGAGAGACCGACACTGGGTGGGAGGGTGTGGGAAACAAGCAGTGATGGAGAAGTGGACAAGAAGCAATCTATACAGAAGAAACATTGGCTTTCTTTGCCTCCTACAGTAGGATAACTGTAGGGACTCCGTGTCTTCACTCCCAGAAGGGCTGGGGTGGGGTGGGGGGTGGGGGTGATGGCGGCAGCGGCAGCAGTGGTGGCAGCGGTGACGGTGTTGGTGTTGGTGGTAGTGGAAGCAGCGGCAATAGATGAGTGTCAAGGAGATACTACACTGTGAATTCCCTTCCAGATGGTTCCAGAGAGGGAGAGGTGCTGGTCTGCACCGGGTAAGGCGCTCAGCTTCTTTTCTTAGAGACACAAATCCACAGGGTCAATACACAGCCAAAAGCATATACTCAGGATTAACATATCACGCTAGCTTCCAGAAGTTTAAGATATAGTCATCAACACCCCCACCCCTCCCCCCCTCCCCCCACCCCCCATCCCAATCCGTAGCTACGTCAAACTCCTAACTCTATCTGGTAGAGATGTTGAAAGAGGAGCCACATACCTCAGGCAACAGCTCCTGCACAGGGCTGGGCTGAGCCGGGCAGGCTCGGACACCTGCGCTGGGCTTCCCCAGAGCAGACATTTTCACCAGGTACCTTACCCAAAACAAGTGAGGTGATCTCAGAGGCTTGCTCCCTAATGAACTGAGCTGTCCTGCCCATCAGTGAGGGGCAGGGCACTTTGGGGTTGGCTGGTATAGAGCTATTGAACCTGGGGGCAAGGGCTCCCAAGGCTGCCAGCCTGTTGAGCCAGCCACTGACAACCCGTAGTGGCTGTATTCTGCACATCTCCCACCTGGGCACTGGCCCTTGAAGTGGCTCCTGCCAGATGCTAGGGAGCCCATGGTGGGTTGGAGCATCTGGAACAAGCTCCCTCTCTCCTTGGCTTGGCGCTGTGGCCTACTGCTATTGTCACTGCCCTCTGTGAGGCAGCAGATGCTAGGAGGAGCTCCAGGTTCTGGCTCCCCTGGTGCCCAACTCAGAGCAGGAGGTGAACCTGATGTCACCTACCAGCCCCAGAGAAGAGATAAAATACAACTCTGTGGTGGGCATAAAGGCGAGGGGCCTTTGCCCTCACAGTGACGCCCAGAGGCCAAGAAGGGGTGAGGACACCCAGGGCAGCAGCTAAGCCTGCAGCCCTTAATAAAGAGCCTTGGTCTAGGGAGTTTTCACTCCTCAGAGACTGTTAGGCTCTTGGACCCTGACTGGCCCAACACACACACACACACACACACACACACACACACACACACACACACACACCACAAGATGCAAAGACCACAAAGCTCAAACCTGGGACCAATGGGTGGGGAGGGGACAAGCCTAGGCAAGTGCCCTACTTAATAAGGGTTTTTAAGGAGTGTGTGAATGTGCTCATAACAGTCGATGATGGGGAGCCTGGTGGGTGCCCTGTGGCTGCTGGCAGCGACAGTGGTGGCAGCGCTGGCTGCTGCTGCTGCTGTTGGTGCTGTTGCTGTTGCTGCTGCTGCTGCTGCTGCTGCTGCTGCTGCTGCTGCTGCTGCTGCTGCTGCTGCTGGTTAAGGTTCCTGGCTGTGGACTCCTCAGCTGCACGCAGCAGGAAGGTGTAATTCCTCACGACTTCTTCTACTTTGGCCAGCAGCTCCTGGCGCTGGGCCTCCGAGCGCACGATGAACACCAGCCGCACAAAGGTCTCAATGAGGCTGCTCAGCACCTGGAAGCTGCCTGTGATGGCCGCCAGCATGTGAGTGGGGCTCTTGTCCACATTGGCTACCCGGCGGCAGGAGGCCCGGAGCTCCTTGAACTTGAGAGCTAGCTCAAGTTTGTACTCAGAAATCTGAGAGACATAGGGCTTGGGGGCACGTGCCTCGGGGCTGGCCACACACTGCCGCAAGACTGTCAGCAGCTCATTGGTGTCCAGGCGGGCTGCCAGGAAGCCGTCAGGGAGGCCATAGGCATGAGCCCGTAACGCATTGATTTTAGCCAGGCTCCCCTCAAAGGTGGAAACCCGAAGGTCGATTTCCTGGGTGTGAGAGGCCTCGGGGCTGCTGCTGCAGGTGGCGGCATCCAGGACCTGCAGGGTTCTGCTCACCACAGGCACCACCTGCTCGTCCAACTTCATGCCAGGCAGAATCTTCATGGGAATGGAATAGGAGAGCTCGTCCTTGCCGTCGCTGGCATCATCTGCCATGTCACACTTGCGGTAATAGAAGCAGTAGCGGATAGAACAGCACTTGCTGGTTTCACTGTCCTCATCTAGATCGGCTGGCCTGCGGTATACCTCCTCTGGCAGTGAAAACACAGCCATTTGCCTGGGGCCTTTGCTCTCAGGGGCCACTTGGACGTAGGAGGGCTCTCCAAGAGTTGGTGACTCTGCACGCTTGCCTTTTGGACCCAAGACTAGTGGGAGGCCTGTATCTATCTCCTTGACCTCTCTAGGCAGCATTCCCAAGGGGGGGTGCGGGTAGACATCTGAGGTCAGGGAGGCCCTGTCACCCTGGTCCAGCTCACTGTTATTGTAGCGGTGCATCAGTTTCCTGTAGTTGGGGTCTCCCAAACACTCACCCCCCGAGGCACAGGTGCTCAGGCAAGAAACACCACTCTCAGGGTCTGACCGGCACTCACGGGACTCCAGACTGGTAGAACGGATGCGCTGGGCATTGATGGGACTACCAAGGATCAAGCCTGGGCCAGCTTCTGGCTGCCTCTGGGTAGGCAGGACCCTCTCCCTCTCCCGAAGGCCAGCAGGCACTGGGGTCTGGGCAGCTTGAGGCCGTCCTCCTCGGCAGATGCGCTTGCAGTCACAGCTGCGTCTCTGTTCACGAGACATGCCAGGTCCCTGCTGCACAGGGCTACTACGCAGCTGGCAGCTGCAGCGGCCAGGTGCTGGGGGTTGCAGGTACTCTGTGCCTGAAATATCCCCCTGGCTTGGTGGCTTTAGAAGTTCCTCAAGGAACTCCAATTCATACTGCTTTACCTTCTGCAGCTGGGCCTGTCGCTCATCTGTTTCTTTCTTCTGGCGGGTAGGAAAGGTGGCAGAGAATAAGTTGCGCAGTCGGAAAGGACCTCGGGATGACTTGGGCTTTGTGGGGCCTTCAGAGGCCGCATGGGCTCCATCCAGGGTCGTTTCAAGCTTCCTAGAGGGCATGGTGCTGACCTGACGGCTGGTGGCCAGAGGCCTCATTGGGCTCTGGCCTCTAGGATGGTAGCTGGGGCTGGGGCCACGGGCCAGGCTGCTGGGGCTGTGGCTTCGAGCCTGGCAGCTAGGGCTGTAGCTTCGAGCCTGGCAGCTAGGGCTGTAGCTTCGAGCCTGGCAGCTAGGGCTCTGCAGAGCCATGGGATAGCCAGCCCGGGGAACTAGGCTGGTCTCCTCAAACTTGCTGCTTTTGGATATGCTCTCCAGGTGCCCTTTCTCCCCAAGGCCAGAGACTGTGCTCTGCTTGTTAGGGGGAGGCTTAGCACCCTCTGGCCCAAGCTTGCCTGCCACCTCCCCGGTAGCTTGCTTGCCCACCGAGTCTCGACTTGCTCTGGATAGATAGCTCTTAGGAGGGAAACTTTGAACAGGAAACCTGTCCTCTTGTGGGGAAAGGTGGAGGTTGTCAGGCCGGCTGCTTGTGGATGCTCTGGGGCTGGCAGAGATCTCTGCGCCCAGCTGCTGCTGAGAATTCCGTGTGGTCTCCAGGGCACCAGGGCTCATTTTAAACTTCAGATTCTTGTTGGCATTGCTGCTCATCAGGCTAACTTCTGGCCTGCTCATGGTGACCTCAGGCCTCCCCATGCCAGCCTCTAGCCTTCTCTCCCCTCTGTTGGAGGGTGTTGCCAAGGCTGTGCCAGGAGTGGCTAGACCCTTACTGTGTACTACCTGCTGTAGGGTAGCCGAGATGATGGCTGGGGTCACATTGCCTTTTGGGTCCAGCATAAGCTTAGGGCTCAACCTGACTTCCTTGGGCAAGTTTTCCCTTAGCTCTGAGACCTGCTCTTCACCGAGGGATGGTGTGGCTGCTCTCAGTGACATCTCTAGGCCTGCCCTAGTGTGGCCTGGCCCTTTGTCCTCAGGAACTGGGGGAAGCAGGCTCAGATTCTTCTGCTCACTAAGTTGTGGGGACAGGGCTGGATGCACGGCCAGGGAGTATGTTCTCTCTCCCTGCACCTGGGCTTCTGACTGAGGCAGCTTTCTCCGGGCACCAGGGGGACCAGGACTCTGGCCAGTGACAGCTGGCTGGAGGGATGGGTTGGGATCTGGGGGCCCAAGGGCATAAGGGGCGGTGAGCACAGCCTGAGCTGAGCAGCTCTGGATTCTGAAGGGCAGGTCCTTTCGGGCAAGGAGGCTGTCCTTGTTGAGGTGCTGGGCCAGGAAGTAGGTGGCATTCTGGTGCTGCTTCATGGCCGACATCATCTCTGACATATCTGTGAGCTCTGAAGAGTTGGTTTCATGGCCCGAGTCCAGCGATGATTCAGGAGTGATTGTGGCCAGCACAATCAGACCTAGAGGAACAAGAATGGGACTTGTCACGTTTACTAGTATCGAGGTCTTTTCCAACCATATCTCGAGTGTTCCTGGAGAAGTGGTAGGTAGCAGCAGTATTTCACGCTGGGGAAAACCCAGTCAAGCCAGAGAAAACTGTAGGGCTGAGGGGGAGGAGCCAAGAAGAGTGCGCACAAAGCGGAACAAGATGTGAGAAGGGGGTGTGAAAGGTTGGAATCCAAAAAAAGGAATACCAAAAAAGAAGATCTTGGCAGTTTGGTGGTAAATTAACATGTAAAACAACATGCCAATCAGTGCTGTTTTTAGATTCAACAGCTAGGAAATTTCTGTTAATTGTCCTGAAGAGAGTTGGCAAAGAGAGGTGCTGTTCGGCTCCTCCTCATCTGGCCAGGCCTGTCTACAGTTCTTGCAGCTGAGGCCGTTTAGCCGAGCTTCTCTCTCTGGCAGTCATGTGGGCCTTGGACCTGGACACCAGTTTTGGAGCACCTGATGTGTGAAGACCAATGCCAGCCTGGGTTGGGGACAAACATTCAGGGGGCTACCCAAAGATAAGGTTTTTAAAAAGGTGTGTGTGTGTGTGTACACATATGTGTGCCTTTCAGGAGATGGATTTGCAGACATCTATAATAGAGAATAACAAGCATGCAGCATGGTTCTTCTACCAATTAATAGTTAACAGATAGCTACTGATTATTGATCCCTCACTGGGGGGGGGGGGCGGTAGTGCAACTAAGTGTTCTGTCTGAGTGATGTCATTTAATCTTCATGCTGTGTGTTGCAATTGCCATGGTGACACACCCAAGAGAGTAAGTGCCTTGCCATGAGTCGCACTGCCTGTGAGTAAAGAAACTAGGACTCTGTTGCATGTGCCTCAGAGTTCATGTTCTCAGACAGGCTAAAGACCCCAGCCCTGCGTAGAGATAGCTCTTGGCAGTCCTGATCACAGGTCATTTGGGAAATGAATTGGTCTTTTGGAGCATGTTGCTGTTCTTTGTCTGTTTTTTGGGTCTCTTCTATCTTCCTGTTCCTCAGTCCTGGCCTTGATCTATAGCTATTGTGGGTTCCATGTGCAATAACTGTCTAGAGATATGCGATCATGAGGGACAGAGCTCTAACTAGAACTGCATCTCTTCTCTGCAGCTTCCTTTTTCTTAGACCTAAGCTATTGCTGCCAATTCATTGCCTTTGATATGCCATCGTCACTCAAACAACTGTTTGAAAAGAAGCAGTGCTACCTACTGGACATTCCTGGACCAGAAGAAGGAAGAGTCAAGAAGAAGGAAGACTGGGCTATTTATTACCTGCAGTCTGTTGGGGTGGAGGATGGGGTCCATCCTCTGAAGCAGCCAGGGCTTCTAGAGCCTGCAGAGTAGACACCAGAGCATCATCCAGCTCCTGGGCATGATCTCGTACTGTCCGGGTCTGTACACTGTCAATCAGCGTCACTGGAATCTCATCATACAGGAGCCCACGCAGGTGACGTCCTTGCTCCTGACTTTGAACAGCTCTGCGCTTGGAATCATCCTCATCAGAGCTGTTGTCTCGGAAACCAGGGGGTGGAGCTGCAATGGCAGGCAACAGAGAAGTTGTCTCATCTTCCTCTTCCTCTTCTTCCTCACTTCCTGGTGGTGGGAGGGACATTAAGTCTACCATATTGTCCCGAGAGGAGCCAGGCCTCCCACCTTTTCGAGGCCCCTGCTGCTCCTGGAGTTTGACTTTGCAAGAGTCACAGTAGAAATTCAGGGCTTCAGCCCCAAGGGAATTGTCCAAAGTGTAGGACCGGGCCCTGCTGGCACAAGGCTCATGGTCTAGGCTGGCTGCATCGAAGTCATCAGGAATCATCTCATAACCTTGGCCAGAGCTTTTGGATGTGGGGTCCGATTTGGTCCGGGGTCTGGTTTCTTCAAAGAAGATTAGGTTCTCGTTGACATCTGTCCTGCTTTCTTGCTCCTTCCTTTGTTCCCGCATGTGGAGGTAGCAGAAGCTGACAAGCTCAGGGTCGGCAGGTGGGGTCGCGCATCGGCTCGACTTCCTAGGGCTGGTGCCCACGCTGCCCACATAACTACTCTCCTTTTTCCCCAGGTGGCCCCCAGTGACAGGGCGATGGGCGCTGTGCATGGGATCTAAAAACCAAAAAAAAAAAAAAAAAAAGCATGGTTGAGCCTGCTACTGAGGATGGTAGCTGAGCCCCTTTGCCCCTTCGGCAAAGAGAGAGAGAGAGGAAGAGAGAGAGAGAGAGAGAGGGAGGGAGGGAGGGGGGAGGGAGGGAGAGAGAGAGAGGGAGGGAGAGAGGGAGGAAGGGAGGGAGGGAGGGAGGGAGGAAGAGGGAGGGAGGGAGGGAGGGAGAGAGGGAGAGAGAGAGGGAGAGAGAGAGAGAGCCTACTGCTAGAGATCTAGAGATTAGGGAGAGGGGATCAGATGGACAATGTCACTGCTGATACTGAAAGCAGAGTGAATAAAATGTGATGGCCAGGGATGCAAAAGTCTCATCAGCTCTGAAAAGGGAAAAGCATGCTTTGAGATCAGATACCACAAGATTTTCCGTGGATCTGGCTGTTTGAGAATCTGCTGGAAACATACCTAAGGAGATGAGGTTTGCTTTATGTTTATGTTACGATCTGTTCCTGTTTCTGTCACTGCCCCTATACTCTTTGTCAAGCCATACCTACTGCCAATACTCTGTAGCTCTCCTGTTATCTTGGATCTCTTCTAGTCCAAGAAATTGCTAATGAGAAGTTACTGTGTTTGCTGAGAAGGTGTTAAACCGGCTAGTACAAGCTGAGCATGGTAGCTCACACTTAGAAGACTGATGGAGAAGGACTACCATGTGTTTGAGGTAACCCTAGGCTACACTGTAAGCTGCAGCCTGGGCTATGATATGAGACTGTGTCTCAGAAACCAAGGAGACAAACAAGCAAAAAAAAATCAAAATTAAGCTGGGCGGTGGTGGCGCACGCCTTTAATCCCAGCACTCGGGAGGCAAAGGCAGGCGGATCTCTCTGAGTTCGAGGCCAGCCTGGTCTACAAGAGCTAGCTCCAGAACAGGCTCGAAAGTTACAGAGAAACCCTGTCCTGAAAAACCAAAAAAAAAAAAAAAAATTCAAAACTAAACAGACAAACCTCCAACCTGGCTAGTACAAGTCCCGAGAACTTGCATTTCAAAAGTGCCTATGCCAGGAGCCCATCAGAATTTGTAGTGTGTAAGAGAGGTATGGTGGGGTGTTGTATGTGGAATGAGCATGGGACATGATTCCTATAATCCTTAAAGCTTACTACTGTCCTGTATTCATGCTCTTGATAGCAGGTATGTGTATCCGAGCCCTATCCGCAGCAAATTCTATCTCTGAGTATGTTCTCTATCACACTGTTTTGGGAACTCATCTCACATCATCTAGGAGGCTACACTCAGGCGATGCAAGCCTGATCTGCTAGCCGCAGACAGGTGAAAAGCCATCACAAAGCTGGCCGTGATAGCACATGCCTGTAATCCCACATCTTGGGAAGTGTAGGTAAAATGATCAGGAGTCATTCAAGGAAGTCCTCGGCTACACAGTGAGTTTGAAACCAGTTTGGGATTCAGATGACCTTGTTTCAAACAAACAAACAAACAAACAAAACCAAACTAACTAATCAAGACACGATAAATTACATGTAATCCCATTCTTTATTCCCAAACCAGTGAGGCAGGTATCAATATCCCCATTTAACAAAGGAAGGGACAGACTTAAGGTCACATGGGTTTTAAGCAGCAACCTAAGATTGAGTCCAGGTTGGAGAGGCTTCAGAATTTGTATAGCTAATCATCATGGTGGCCATGGTATTGGAAAACCAAATATTAAATGCTTTTCAAACTCCAGATCAAGGCCAGATCAATGTGTCAGTGTTACCTTTTACTAACACGTATAGCTAGGACAGAAACATATAGTACAGGCACCCAGCAATTGAGTCCCTAATGCATGATGGTAAAACTGGTCTGAATTGAAAGAAGTACCTGCAATTCAAGTAGATAGAGTCTTAAGAATACTGTGTTTCTGAAACTGGCCTTGAACTCCTGCCCTTTTGTTTTCACCATCCAGTACTGGAGAGACTGAGGTAGAAAGATCACCATGAACTAATCAGAGGCCAGCCTAAGCTATATAGTGAGTCCTGGGCCAGTCTTGGCTATAGTGAGGCACTGTCTTCAAAATAAAACAAGGAGAAAAGTAAAAGGAGGCCAAAATACCCCTCAGCTATTCTGAGGCTAGTATTATCTTAATACAAAAACCAAAGAAAGACATCACAATTAAACTATAGACCACTGTATCTTACAAGCAAAATGTCTACAAATATAGACACAAAATCCATCAACAAAATACCAGCAAATGGAAACCAGAAACACATAAAAAGAATTACTTAGCAGTAATTGCATACTAGTGGGTATTTACTGCATCAATGCAAAGTCGTTTTGACATGAAAAATCAATTACTTTAAAAATTTATTTTATGTGTATGGGTATTTTGCCTGCATAATGTCTATATATCACTTGAGTGCCTGGTGCCCACGGAAGCCAGAAAAGAATATTAGACCCCCTGGGACTAGAGTTACAGAGGGTTGTGAGATGTCAGATATCTGCTGGGAATCAAACTTGCGTTTTCTAGAAGGGTAGCCAGTGGTGCTCTTAACCACTGGCCAATCTCTTGAGCCCTGAAAAATCAATTATTAATTCATGCAATATAGCATGATAATAGAGAATAAAATAGACATGCTCATTTTGAAAGGTATAAAAACATTTGAAAAAACCAGAGCCTTATAGGGATAAAGCTCAACAAACTAGACTCCAAGGGAATTTCTTCAACATAGTTGATGGAGGAAGGTCATTGGCTAATAAAGGAACTGCCTTGGCCCATTTTATTGGTTAGAAGATAGGTGGGAGGAGAAAACAGGACAGAACGCTGGGAGGAAGAGGAAGTGAGGTCAGAGTCTCGACAGCTCTCCTCTCGGGAGCAGACGCCTGAGAGAGACGCCATGCTCCTGGCTCCTGGGCAGACGCACGCTATGAAGCTCCGACCCAGGATGGACATAGGCTAGAATCTTCCCGGTAAGCACACCTTGGGGTGCTACACACAGATGATTAGAAATGGGCTAAATTAATATGTGAGAATTAGCCTAGAAGAGAATGGGCCAAGCAGTGTTTAAATGAGTACAGTTTGTGTGTTGTTATTTCGGAGCATAAGCTAGCCGAGCAGGCGGCCGGGGTGCTGGGAACGCAGCCCCGCCGCCCCATTACTACACATAGTAAATGTTATTTGTTAAAAAAGCCCTTGACAGGCTGTGGTGGCCTTTAATCCCAGCACTTGGGAGGCAGAGGCAGGTGAATCTCTGTGAGTTCAAGACCAGTCTGGTCTACAGAGTGAGTTCTAGGACAGCCAAGGTTACATAGACAAACCCTGTCTCAAAAAAACAAAAAAGAAAAAAAAAAGCTTTCCCAGGAGTCTTAGGATATAGCTCAGCTGGGAGTGCAGTTGCTTTGCATGCACCCAACCCTGGGTTTGTTGCCTGCACCACATTTAAAAAAAGAAGAAAGCTGGTTAAAATGCCGCATGCCTATAATCACAGCATTCGGGAGGTGGAGGCAGGAGGATCAGGAGTTGAAGATAATCCTGTCATCTTTGGCTATCCAGCAAGTTCAAGGAAATTTTAGAATATATAAGACTCTGTTTCTGCTAGGCATGAAATCAAAGGGGGGGGGAGAAAAAAAAGGAAGAAACGTGATACATATACACAGTGGAATTGGTTCTGTTTTTTGAGACAGGGTCTTTTGTTTCCAGGGATGTTCTTGAACTTCTGATCCTCTTTCCTCTGTTTCATGGAAGCTGATGTCATCGTTAGATATCATCACACCCAGTTAGTGTAGTGCTGGGGATTGAAGTCAGGGTTTTATGTATACGAAGCAAGCACTCTACCAATTGAGCTATATTCTTAACCCTTGGTGTGTGTGTGTGTGTGTGTGTGTGTGTGTGTGTGTGTGTGTGTGTGTGTTTGTGTGTGTATGCACATGAACAAATGGAGGCCAGAGGTCAATGTTAGGTGTATTCCTCAACTTCTCTCCTCCTATTTTACACTTATTTATTCATTCAAAAAATATTTTAAATTACATCCTCCCCATTGTGTGTGCATATGAATGCGTGTGTGTGTGTTCATGTGCACATCAAACATACTTGCTCATATGCATGCATGCATGCCACAGTGTGCTTATGGGGGTCAAAGGGCAATTTGCAGAAGTTGGTTCTCTCCTTTCATCCTGTGGGTTCCAGGAATGGAACTCAGGTTGTCAGACTTGGTGGCAGGTACCTTTACCAACTGAGCCATCCTGCCAACTCTCTGGTTCTTAAGATAAGGTCTCTCACAGAACCTGAAGTTCATTAATTTAGCTAGACTCACTGGCCACCTTGTCCCACAGCCTCCTGCCTTCGCCTCCCCAGTGCTGGGATTATAGATACATGCCACTGTGCCTAGCCCTTACGTGGGAACTGTGAATCAAATTCAGATCCTTGCTTTCATGGTAAGTAATTAATGGATATCACCTCTCCTTTTCCCCATAACCCTTGGAGGGATAACAAGGTCTGCTATGTATTTCTGACTGACCTAGAATAAAGGAAATGAGTGAAAGATGAGGGGGGTATGGGAGGATAGTGGGGAGAGTTATTGATGAAATTATAACAATATGTACACGTGAAAACGATGTAATGAGAACTATTATTTTGTATGTCAATTAAAAATATTTTTTTGTTGAGACAGGGTCTTTCTCCATGGTCCTGGCTGCCCTGGACCTCACTATTTAGACCACATTGGCCTTTAACTGAGATATTTCCCCTGCCCTGTCTCCTGAGTGCTGGGATTATAGGTATATACCACCATGTCTGGCATGAAAAATGTTTTTTGAAAAGTAAAATATTCGAAAATGTTTGATAAATCTTTAAATATTATACATGATTGCTATAATCACAGATGTCACAAACCAGTGGACAGGGAAGATGGAGAAGGGTCTTGGGCTTTTGTAGGTGAGGCAAGGACCTAGGTCAGGAAATTTGGCCTGCACTATAAGATGACCTTAGTGGAGCAAGATTTCACTTATTTTGTGTTT